CGGTAGTTTGCTCCGGGGCAAACAGCCACGCCTCCCCCCCCGCAATATCCGGCCCGTGTGACCAGGGCCACAATTTCATTCAGGGTACAAGCTTTCATGTGATAAAATTTGACTAACAGGGAGAGTTAAGGTGTAACAACCCACCCACCCCCACCCCTTTTGAGCTAGTTATGTGGCTGCTTTAGGATTGCCAACTCCAGCTTTGGAAATTTGGGGGAGATTTGGGGGCACTGCCTGGAAGGATGGAGTTTGGAAGGGGAACTCGGTGGGGACCCAAAGCCATAGAATCCAGACTCCAAAGCTGCCATTTATCCCAGGGGGATCTGATCTCTACTATGGAGATCAGCTGTAATTATTTAAGAACTCCAGCCCTCACCTAGGGGTCCCTAACCCTACTGCTCATTGACCAGGTAGGGCTCCCTACTAATATCTGCAAACTTTTGCCCCTCTCCAGTGCTGTTCATTAACACACTCGTCCTTTCTTCTATTTTTCCGTCTCACGCAACCGAGGAGCCTTATCAGACTAACAGCACACTCCTAAGCAGTGTTCCCTCTCAGCTGAGTTAGTGTGATAGTGTGAGCTAGTTCACAGTTTTTGAGCCTCCACCTCACACATTTTTGTCTTAGCTCAGGAAGGAGGGCTCCAGAGCAAACTGATTTATACAGTGGCCAAATCACTTGCTCACAACTTGAAGGCCAGTAGCTCACAAAGTAGAATTTTTGCTCGCAAGACTCCACAGCTTAGAGGGAACGTTGCGTCCTAAGCATGCTTGTTTTGCAATCCATTGCACAGACTTTAGTGGGAATATCTCGTGCACTGGTCTAGGGCCGCAGCCTCGCAGACTTGAGTTTTATTTCACACAGTGAAAAGCGACTCAGCAACAAAAACTGCAACGATCTAATCCGTCGCTTGTATGCCGATCTAGGGATCAAGAGACACACGCCTTTGCAAGGACTGCACACGGTGCACAAGAAGCTGCAAAAGCGTCATCCTTTGGGGAGACTGAAAGACAC